ATATATATGTATATATATACATATATATATATATATATATATATATATATACGTATATACCTATACGCACATATGTATATGATATTACGTATATACTACTATGGACATATACTGATCGACAGTGACTTACTGTGGGTTGTGCGTCAAATGACAGGTCCATCTGCAGTAGTGCATCGTCTAGATCTTCACCAAACGGATCAAACGAATCCCCTGCGGAGTCATCTGAGGAGACAATACGAAGAGCCGTGCCCACGCAGAAATAATATGAATAAACATATAAAACTCAAATAAAAAAACAAACAAACCCCAAACAAACAAACAAACAGAACCCAAACAAACAAACAAACAACATCCAATGTTGGCAGAGAGTGGCCAAAACTACAAACCACAATATATTTGGATACATTGAGTGGTGCATTTATTTACGCGTGTATGTTAACTACAGATAGGCCAGTCAATAGCATCTAATTAATACACCTGGGGACACCTGGGTGCGTTTATTTGTCGACACATCATTACTATTTCATACAATTGGCAGTACAGTTTCAAACACACACAACTACAACTACAACTACAGCACACAAGCACAACACCCAAACTACAAACACGTACATGTCTATATATAGTCTACCAACAAAGTATCCACGCTTGCTTGCTAACGCTATCGCATGATCTGCGGCAGCCATTATTTCACATCTGTCTGCAAATGGTAGTCTCTAAACCCCAGAACCCTAAACCCTAAAAGCCACACACGAATACAACCCCGAGACACATACCACAACTCATGTACACCTCCGGGCTAGGACACACAGAAAGCCCAACACTAATCACATACGTACACTGCTCATAACATCTACATTCACTCAACCTATCAATACACATACACCCGCAGCTATTTATAGGTGGTTGCTTAGTTACCTTCTGCCATCGCTCACAAAATCTAGCTACTCTCCATCTATCAATACACTGTTGGTTACTTGGATGGGATATACAAAAGGAGCAGGTAATCACACATAACATACAATATAATCACCTCTATATAATGAGAAGACAACAAATATACATACATAGCAAACAAACATACAACCATCTCATACCTTCTGCCTGATCTATAATCACACAAAACATATAACATAACTACCCCCCTACAATGAGAAGACAATAAATATACATACATAGCATACAAACATACAACCATCGCATACCTTCTGCCTGATCCGCGGCTGCTAAAATGGCTTCCATCTCTGCATAAGGACTGCTCACTAACCCGTGTGTGTGACTATCGCCAAACACCGCCGCGTGCATGCGCGACATACGTCTGTGCTCGATGATACTAGTCAGTGCAGCCAGTACTAGCTTACGGAAGACTGCTAGAGACCTGGAGGGGTGGGACAGAGTGCGGGGGTGGATGGTTGTATAAACACACGCAGTGGGGATATTCTGCATAAACACACACTGTAATGCTGATACATAAACAAACATATTTTAAAACAATGTATGTACATAAACCCCACACCCGTTGTAAACATTGTTCATTGACCATATACATATTAAACAGCATGCATAACACCTACATTTCAATGGGTGTGTAAACACACCCATTAAAATTTTAATTTGTGTATCGTGAGCGGAGTGGGTGTACTGCGAAAAGTATCCCAATCGTTGCTGTAGTCAGTAGCATATACTGCGAACCCAGAAATAGGGTCACGAACGAAAGGCGCCAGCCATAGTACTACCACCACTCTGTGAACACTAGCGTAGGGTTTTAGGGGTTTAGGGGTTTAGGGTTTTAGGGTTTTAATCGATGCTGTAGTCAGTGGCATAAACTGCGAACCCAGAAATAAGGTCACGAACGAAATGCACCAGCCATAGTTCTACCACCGCACTGTGTACACTAGCGTAGGGTTTTAGGGTTTTAGGGTTTTAATCGATGCCTGGCTGAGCTAAGTGCATACCTTACAGTCAGCCTGAAATTGAAGCGGACTATATACGGTACGTTCAATAACTTTGCTACAGCCCAACAACTCTGCTAAAGCGTTATTCGTACTACTCAAGTACTATGTGCACTACTAACACAGACATTCTTACTACTACTAACACACAGATATTGCTAATACTACTAAAGTACTATGTACCCTACTTACACAGACATTCTTACTACTACTAAAAGACAAATATTGCTAATAATACTAAAGTACTATGTACCCTACTACAACACTGACATTCTTACTACTACAAACACAGACACTGTTCCCACTACTAAAGTACTATGCACCCTACTACAACACAGACGTAATGTATAATGCTAAACATATAGTTACTTACCCTGTAGTCAGTACGCGGTTGAAGTGGTCTATATATTGCGAGGCGAAGGTGCGACCATCTCCGCCTTTGATAACAACACACAACTTCTTAATACACAACTCCACTCTCCGGCGTAGCAGCACCACATGCTTCATATTTGGTGTACCTGTAT